TAGCTCATCTGGCTGTGTTTCCTGCATGGTCTGCCTCACAAGGCTGACAATGGCTGATGCCATACCCAAAACCAGGAGGGCACATTTCAGAGAGGAGCATCTCACCACCACCACCCCCCCCATGCCTAGTGGACCTTGGTAGTACACCCCAAGTTGGCTCTCTTCCGTGATCAAGTTGTAAATGAGGTAGGCCTTATTACAGGCCAACTTGGCATTAAAGAGCAGCAGCCAGAAACCAGAACCACCTAAGATCCAATGACTGGGTAGCAGGTCAGAGACCAGGAGGCTGGAACATGGAACTGGCACCCAACCAAACACATTTTTTATTATCTTCCAACAAAAACATCTTTTGTTGGAAGATAATAAAGACAACCCCAGCAACTTCTGTGCCAAAATCCAGCCTGAAACCAGCTGGTAATGGATCCAGATAAATGGCCTAGTCCACAAGAAAATGCTTGAAAAGTCTACTAAAAAATAAAGTATTACAAATTAGCTAATAAAGATTAAAATAAAAGGAGGCTGTTTCATAAAGTAAATTTACAGGCATTTTAACTGCCTGTTGGAAGCAGCCAGTCAGTCCCCTTCAGCTAGATGTAATTAGTCAAGAAAGGTTTTAAAAGGCAGGAATTAATTAGCCCATAGTGCTAACACCCAAGAATAAAATAAATCATCCCACAAAAGATGAGATGATTATGTTCTGGGTACATTCTTGGATTAAACAAATAATGCTGTGACATTTTGCTTGTGGCAGATACAAATGATTTCTTTTTCTTCAAATACGTCACTGCATGCTTATATTATTATAATATAGTATAATTTATTATATTATATTATAATAATGCCTTAATAATGTCCTGTGTATCTAGCCAGAGCAAGGCCAGAATTACTGAGAAAATGCTGTTTGAAAATATTATACAGAAGAAAGGCTGTTGGTGAAGCATTCACAGTTATTGTTGCTGGAAAGTAGACAGTGTAACGAGTTCTTGCTTGTACTGTGTATTTCCTGTGAAATTTGCTCTACTTGGGCTCTAGCCATCTCCCAACCTCTTTCATTTTTAGTCTGCTTCTTGGAAAACCAGAAAGCTATCCTAGCTTTGCAGAACAGAAGAGGAAACTCAGGCTGATCATATTAAGCCAGCTTCATATTTTGCAGTGAAACTGGAACTTTGATGTTAGCACCAATCGTGCCAATCATTCCAAGAGTGCTCAGGAATACATTGGATTTAATTGGCCTATAGGTGAAGCATCATAATGGCCACTGAACTACCCCTGGCAAAGCTGTCTTTACACAGATGTTGAGATTTATCAGAGTTACCCTGTTTTTTAACACCCCTAATTTGAATGCTGGTGACATCTCTAGTCCTAAATGCTAAGGATTTTTTGAATAGTGGCATGGAACTAAATGCTCTTTCCTTTGCCCTCTTGTGCAGGAGGCAAGGGGAAAGACGCTGTGAACTGTACATACAAGGATGAGAATGACTGCGTGGTATACTTCCAGTACTACGAGGACTCCAGTGGCAAATCTATCCTCTATGTTATTGAGGAACCAGGTGAGGGCCAAGGGCCACTGAAATAAGGCTTTATTTTGGGAGACCTTTATTTTGAGTGACCTTTATTTTGGATAGACTTTGCAGGATGAGACATGCCAGAACTCAGGCTGGTATTCCACTTTACTTTTGAGCGTATGAGAGATGATCGTGATTTTTGTGACAAGTGAAGTTCCTTGATTCATGCTCAGAGGTACTTTATTTGAGAGTAAATATATGGCTATGGAGAAACCCAGATTCTAGCTAAGGCATGGGATGAAAGACCTTGGTTTCCAGTGTTGAAAATACTTTTAAAACAAATTCTGGACATAGCTATGCAAGCTCAATGTGAACACAAAAACTGAAAGTGATTCATATTATAATAAATAAGAGTTGGTTGGTATCCTACCTCCCCTCTTCTAGCCCCAACTTTTACCAGACCCCATCCCCACTTTCACTGGAGGAGAGACTTCAGAGACTTTTAGGGATGAAAAAGAAAGTCACTGCTCTTTAGATGGGCAGTTACTTCTTTATCAAATGAATTTTCCCCCTCCTTTTTCCTTCAAAAGGTGAGGAGGGAAGATCCTTGCCATCTCATTAGAAATTAGTAACCCACAATCACCCCTGTTCAGATTATTTTTTTGGAAAAGCACACAACGATGTGGAAGCAGGATAGGAATGGTTTATGAATTAACATATGCAGAACAAGAAGATCAGAAAGAGACAGATTCAGTCATCCTTAATTGTGGCCAAGAATTCAGAAACATTGCTAGACGTTATTGGAAGGTCCTGAAGGGCATATTCCCCCTAGCCTAGGACAGCAAAGCGGGTTAGCAGCAGTGAAGCAACCTCATTTTCCAACCTGAACTCACACTGGAAAGAATTTGAATTATCAGATCTTTTAACAAAATTTACCTGACCAATATGTTTGATTTAAATAATTCATAAAGATTGCAGGATTCTGTATTTCTTGTCATAACATTAATTTAGTTCGACATGAATACAGTTCTGACTAAAGGGCAGTGATTCAGTCTGGCATCTTTCAGTTCAGAATTAAAATCATCATTTGTCATTCACAGATGGAAAGGTTTTTTTTTTTAGCAGGCTGCTGGATTTGTCTGCTTTGATATTTGACTTAAGTGACGAAACACGGATCCTGTCTCTACTTGCTGAGAGATAAACAAATAGGACCACAGACACTGACTGTCATAAACCCCAATATGACAAGATCTCTTTCCGCGTGTTTGGGAGCATGAAGGGGCATCTGGAAACCTTGCAAGAGTCTGTTCTAAACCCAAAGATGGTGATAAATCTCTTATTAGTTGCCAAAAGCACGCAAGAAGTGATACACCCTTGCCACGGGGTATTAACTTGGCTGGTGACTCAATCTGCACTTAGAAGATTGACACCAACTGAGTCTCAGGCTGATTTTGAAGGAGCTTAGCTAGACCTCATTGAACAGCAATTTGAATCCAGCTAATGCATGGTGGGAAACCACAAAAGTTGCCACACTTCCTATCATAGCCTGGGGCTGTTAAGCCCTCTTTTCCCTTTAAAAGAATATTAAAAACACAGTGATGTAGTTAGGGGGGTAGGAGATATCTCACAAACTAGAAACATTTCTGGAAATCATATGATGAAAGCAATTGATTTGTCAAAACAAGTTTGATAGGATGCAACAGTCTGTTGGGACCTGCAGCCTTCCTGGGTCAGGATCCCCATTGCCTTCATAATTGAAAGTAAATGATTGCCCTAACTGTGCCTTAAAATCTCCCAGGAAGTAGGTTCTGCTGTCTTTTTGGACATCTTTTTGTTGTTGTTGTATTGATCTGGCTTCAGGAAGATTTTGCTAATATCAGACTGGAATTTGATTGGATATTTCTTCCAACTATGTTTTGGAGATCAGATCAAAGATATGCTCCTTCTAAGTCAAACTCTTCCAAAATGGTCCCTCTAGGCCAGTGTTGTCCAAACTTGGCCACTTTAAGATGAGTGGACTTCAACTCCCAGAATTCCCCAGCCAGCAGGGCGGGCTGGGGAATTCTGGGAG